TATATATATATATATATTCACTTACACACAGTGCACACTAAAAACATATGTATATCATGTATAACATGGTTTCCCTTGTAAAGCAAGCATACCTTCAATGGTCGAATGATGGGATACAGCAGGAGTATCTACAGCTGGGGAAGACTCCTCATGAACACCATGGAATCTGAATATCTTATGGGGATCACGTGTATCACTTGAATTATCTCTAACTTCAGAGAACATCTTCCCGTTATTGTTGTACACTGCCTTTAATGCACAGCGAAAGTTGGTTTTATAAGTAGGTGGGTCCTCACACAGTGGATTATATTTTCTACTCTGAATGGCCCATGCCTGCAAAATAGAAAAAAATATTAGGATTGATGATATTGGAAAGAGTGCCATCAGGAATGAACCTGTCCAGCTTAAAGTGTCTGCGTCAGAGAGTCAACAACCCTAGAAGGTACTACCCTGAGAAGAGAGTAGGTTGATACACACCTGTCTATCGACCCATTTGCTAAAACTGTAGTAGAAATCATGGCGCTGATCTGATTCAACCCCTCGGGCTGGCAAAGAGTGGTTCCCTCTGCTGGCTGCTTTCGTACCTCCCACTAACCCCTAGTCACTGAAGACACAACAGTGACTTAGGGGTCGGGGGACCACAGTGGCCAGCGGAAGACAATATATTCTATACACCCAGAAGTGTGGAAGTGGATTGGTGCACAGAGCTTTGCTACAGAGTGAAGTTTTAGCCGAAGGACAGGTATGTATAACTTTGCTTTCTTCTCAGGGTAGTGTCTGTATTATTTTGTTTTTAAAAAACAAAAGGAGTACTAAGTTGATGTTCTTAAGAGTCTCCCTTCATCAGGGCTCATGCTCTTCTCTAAACAAGCTGCTCTGCTGCAGACACAGGCACTCATACCTTGACCAAACCTTCAGGTGTAGATAGGTTTACCCAGGAGTTAGATTCAGAGTCCTATTCAATATTTTGATAAGTGCTTGAGTTCTAATCAAGTGGGATTGTTTGACCCCTGAAACGCATTGGCTGCCACTATTGTCCTGTTGTTGTTAGAGGGACTACATAAACATTATTTGGTCTGTTAGGCGCTCATTTTGTTTTTTTACACATAGACTTCTCAAGTTGGGTGACTCTGGTGGAGAGCTGCAAAACACAAGCCATGTGGCTTAATTGAGGACTTCATTACTTAATAAATGCCATATCCAGCACCTCGCTTACAGCTTCCCCTAAAGACCTCTAATTTTGTTGATGGGGTCACTTCAAGGCTGGCTCCACACTATTTCATTGCTTACAGTGGTTAATATGCATTTTTCCTGTGCATGATGGCAACACATGAAAACACAGCAGTGTTTTTCGAATTGAATGGGACCACAACACACATTGCACACTCTATGTTGCAGTAATGTGTAGGAAAACGTGCATTCCTACAACAATGTACTAATTCCACCCCAATGCACCTTCGCATTGCAGGGCACAAACAAGTGTTGCTGTGCACTGCTGAAATGCTGATTTTTTTTGGTGCATTAGGCAGCCTATTCAATTGAATAGGTTGTCTTATCGCAAGGCATGTTAATGCGCATGTGCTAATGCAGTGGAACAATTTGGACAGGTCCTAAATAAATGAGTCCTAATGCAAAGCAATACGTATGAAAGGGCTCCAAGACATTGTCCTAGCTGATGTTAACACAGGAGCAAGACAATTATGAGCTGCGCAAACTGTTGGCGCTATATAAACCCTGTATAATAATTACACCAGCATGCTGCACTTTGTAAAACTCCTTTTTTTTTTTTTTTATGTGAATAAGGGAAAATTATGGCTTTGTATAGTAATCATAATTTTGTTTTCCTAACAGGACAAAGAACTATATGCAAGTTACACATTCACATAGATCTTGGAAGAAGGGGGGAGGGGGTCTTAAATTGATACCTGCCTTAAATATTGCATAATCATTTTCATCAACATTCCTCATGTTTAGGTGTTTCCAGGGCAAGCGAAAAAGTGTGTGGCCTTCGTCCAACCAGTAAACCCCTTCATACTGGCTGCTGGTAATGTTTCGGAGGAGCCAGGGACCAAAGAGCTCCCTATTGTGACACCTGTGGTAAAACAGAGTGGTTATCACCTATATACACACACACACACACACACACACACACACACACACACACACACAAAACACATCTATACACACACACACCCCACAACTGTAAATTTTTCTACAGACAAAACCTCACACTAAAAGGAAAAGGGTAAACAGATGATAAATGGCCATTGTTATAACATTTACAAAGAAATATGTAAAGATTCAGGAATGTATTAATACTAAAAATAGGTCGAAGAGAATAGATTGCACACCCCACTCCTTGTGTCCAGCCTTATGTAATAACCTACGCCCCTAGATACATCGATAGCAACATACAGTTGCATTAAAATAGGATAGCACAGATAGTAAATTAAAGGACATCTAAACTCAAAAACTAAAATATAACAGAAAAAAACAAACATTTTCAGCAAGCACAGAAAATGGTGGTTCATCATGCAAGAAATGTGGTGTCCTTGTCACTTCCTGTGAGCTGAACAAACAATGCTACCTTGCCTCTGTATACTACTAAAGCCATCACTCCCCGTGCAATGGGAATGGAGAGGAAGATGTTTAAAGTCCAGGGTGGGTGAAAATCATAGCACCCTCCATAGATAAAGTGGAGTAAATGAGTGTTGTCATCCTAGGACAGGAAGTGTGTTAGTCGCAGATACAAGATAAAAACAAAGAAATAAATGGAAAAAGTAATACAGTCTTAACCTTGAAACGCTGGCAAGTTGCAATGTATTAAATGTTTGTTTTTTGGGGGTTTAGATACCCTTTCATTTTATCTTTTGTTGAAGTGTCAGCATGAGAAAGGGTAGGACAAACCCAAGATGTTACTATTCTCCATCAAGTTTTCATATTGCAAATGTAATTGTTCCTTGATTAGGATTTAGCAGTGTTTATGTATACTGTAGAATACTGCAAGTTGAAGATTCAATACTAAGAAATATGAAAGGCCCACTGTAGCAAACAATATTGTATTCTGATAAACGTATGTGGTCAATACCTTTCATATAATGTACATTACATGATTTATTTTTTTACAGTCGTTTTAGGGCTGCAACAACTAATCGACATAATCGATTATAATCGATTATTGAAAAAGTTGTCAACTTTTTCAATAATCGATTAATCGGCTTCCGATCAGTTGGCCCTGTTCACAGCTCCACACGCTGTGCGCCGCACCTCCTCCCCACCTCACGCTCGCCGCTGCCAGACTCGCCTGCCCGCATCCACACGCCGCACCTCCTCCCCGCCTCACACTCACCGCCCACCCACATCCACGATCGGCACAGGGACGCACAGGGAGATGTAGTAAGGAGGAGCAGGTGTGGGGTGATGACAGCCGCCGATAGACAGGTCCGATCTCAGAAGCAAGTTGCTGGAAGACTGCTCAGGTAAGCCTGCACTTTCCCACACATGGTGCTCTATAATGTATTGCTGGGATTTGTATTCCTCTATAGCTGATGGTACATTGTGCTGTATATTATACATATGAATACAAATCCCAGCAATACATTATACACTGTATGTATAATGTATTGCTGGGATTTGTTGTACTCCTATATAGCTGGTGGTATTTTGCATTGCGTTGTATAGGGGAATACAAATCCCAGCAATAATACATTATACAGCGCAATGCGGAATACCACCAGCTATAGAAGAGTACAACAAATCCCAGCAATAATACATTATACAGTGGTGCAATGCTGAATACCACCAGCTATAGAGGACTACAAAACCCAGCAATAGTACAGTATACAGCGCAATGCAGAATGCCACCAGCTATTATGTACTATTGCTGGGATTTGTTGTATTCCTCTATAGCTGGTGGTATTCTGCATTCAATGCTGTATAATTTTACACTTTCCATTTCACTATATTGCACACCACACTATCTTTCTTTTTTCTTTTTTACTTCCACCGCTCCAAGCTTGCTCCTGTGATGGACTACAACCTCAATACAAACTAGTAGTCCCATCACTGGAGCCTTTTTTTGAACTCTATTTTATGGTTTATCCGATTAACCGATTAATCGAACCTAATAATCGACTAACTAATCGATTTGAAAATAATCGTTAGCTGCAGCTCTAAGTCGTTTACATTTATTTCAGTGTACATTAAAAAAAAAACAAGCTGTCCAGCAAAGTAACAGTTGCAGGGGTTGGGAAAAAAACGATATAACACTGCCAGGAGTGCTTACAATGATCAGCTTTTATTTATGTCAGCTTTTCTCAACCAGGGTGCCTTCGGGGTTCTTCAGGGGATGCCTCGAAATCCTCCTAATGTAAAGAGGGGGCCTCTGATGTGCAGC